GTTTCTATATCAGCACCTGCTCCTTTACTTTGCACTTTTATATTACAGAGACAGCTTCTTTCCTTAATCCTCATGAACGAACCCCTGGATCTTAACATTTTTCTTCTGCAGCTTCCTCACTTCTCTCTGCTTTCATAGATTTGAAGAGAGTTAAGGCCTTGCTCTGGGTTAGGTTTAGGCTTAAGGGAATGCTGTGGCCCATTTGCTCTTCTATTCAGACCACTAAAAATTTTCCCCATATCAGCAATAAGGCTGTTTCACTTGCTTAGCATTTGTGTGTCCACTGGAGTAGCACTTTTAATTTCCTTCAAGAATTGTTTAGCGAAAGAGGCCTAGCTTTCGGGCTACCTTGGCTTATGACATGCCTTCCTCCTGTTACCAAACTCAGCCAGTCAGCACCTAGGGCAAATCTGGGTGGACCCCAGACCAGAGTCAAAAGGAGCCTGAGATGAGACTTAGAGTCAAAACCAGCTTTATTCTAGTGCACTATGGAATAAAGGGAGACAAAAGGGGACATTCAGCCCAAAGCAGTGTCTCGAAAGTTGCACCCCAGTACATGCGTTTTATACCCTAGGTAACCAATTAGGTCACCTAATACACAACTAAAGTATCGATACATCAATGTATGCACCCCCCTCCAGTGCTGAAGGAAGAGTCCTTTCTTCTGTCAAGGACCAGGCATTTCCCAGGTCTATTTCTTATCTACTCGAGATTCACACAGGCTTGCCATGTTTTTACTCCCTGCACATTTGCAACTTTCATGGCGGCTATAACCAGTTTCCACTGTCCTTTGATTACTGTATTCGAGGTCAGGCTAGCATGTTAGCTGTGGGTTACACAAAGTTCATTTTGTTCTTATCTGCCCTCCCTTCTGGGACAGTATAACTGTGGTGTTTTTACTATGTGGCCTTCCTCTGGCCAACTACTTTTGGGGCCTTCCTCTGGCCAATTACTTTTGGGGTGTTTTGGGGTGCTGCAATTGGCAACAATTTCCTCCCTTCAAAGGAACCTTCTTATTAAAAGACAGATTCCTCTTGATTAGGGAGATAGGTTACCAAGCCTTTGCAGCTTTGCCTTGAAGGTGCAGACTGCTGGTGTGGGCGAGGGTTGTTTGAATAGAGAAACATAGAAGCATAGAAACAGAACGAGTCAGAATGGGTCTCCTGGGTCATCCAGTCTGACACCTGGTCCCAGCCGGTTCCGCTCATGACATGCCTACCATGTGCATGTCTAAGAAATATTAGAATGAATAATTGTTGACAAGCACTGTCAGCAACAGCAAGCAAAATAAGGAGGAAGAAGCACAAAAAAGAAAATATAAAGTTTCAACTTTTTGTAGCCAGCCTCAGTTGAAGAACCAAAGCAACAATCCTCCCAAGCCACTTTTACCAGAATGGAATTTAAAGCAGATTGTAAAGCATTGAGCTTTTGAATGTGATGCTCCAAAAAAAAAAAAAAAAAAAAAAACAGTTTAGTCTTCTACAAGTGCTGCAAACCCTGTCCTGGCTTGCTAACAATGCAATGTCTAGCAACTTTGTATGGCAAGTTGCTCAAGTTGAGCTAACTTTGTTGTATGTCTGAAATGGCATCAGCTGTTTCACTAGAAACACAGAGAATGGAGAGGCTGGCAGTCTAATGTCATGGTGATTTGAGAAACCCCCAACTGGTGGAAGAATGGCACAGAGAAATGAATAGCCTGCCCTGCTTTGGCATTGTCTTCCACCAATGTTTGAACTACCTCTCTATAGTTTGGGCAAGCGCCCTTGGGGAATTCTGTAGTAATTCGGAGGTTGGGGACAAGGTATCCAGTGCCCTGCTCTTCTGTATGGAAAGCCATGAAAGGCTTCTGGCTACTAACCCAGTAGGTCCCAGGGTGGTTTCCATGTTTGGAAGGCATACCTGTGTTGTGAAGCTGAGTCCAGAGATCCCCTGTAGAGAATTTCTCCTGTGGAGTTTTGTATTTGCCAGTTATTTCCAGTGTGGGCCACTGAGCTAGGCATATTTGCTGACTTCCACCTTTTGGCAGCACCAAGTTCTCTTGCATCCGTAGTGTGCATTTCAGGTTCTACCAAGTGGCACTTACCAGCCCCATTTGTGTGAATAATGCATAGCCGTCAGAATCCACATGTAGTTGCCCATCCAGCTGCAGGCCAGGGCCTTTCCAGCTTAGCAAAGACAAAGCTACATCACACCAAACTCTCCCTTACACACGCAGGGGGCCTATTCCAGCTTGTGCCAATTGGCTGTTGCTGTCTTGGGTGCTGTAGAGATGTTGCCAGTCCACCACCACCACCCCAATTAGTAGTGTGCCTCAGTGGTCCTTGCCTGTAGTGCCCTCATATGGAGACTGTTTTTCCCTAGGGATCTGTGGAATCCTTTCCAAGCCAAATATGAATTCTTTCTTTTTACTCTCCTTTGGCTGATCTGGGATGGCAGTGCCTGCCCTTCTGCAATTTGCATGTCAGTTTTACCTGGTCTTTGGTCGGGATCTAGGCATGTGGCATTTCCAGGTGTAAGAAATCCATGCTGGGTTTTCACCAGCGCTACTGAAGCAGAAGCATTCTATTGCACACTGAGCCAGTATTCTAAAACTTAGAAATGAGGAAGTCCACTGTTTTCTTTCTACAAGGACATATGGTGTAGAAGGGAGTAACAAAATTAACAGAAGTACACAGAGACGGCCAGAGTAGCAACTTCAAGAAACTTCCCCTCTTCCCTTCAGCATTATTATCTAGGCTACTTTGTGTTAGGCAAATCTCTTTGCTTTCAGTCCTCAAGCCGGGACTTGATCCTGGTCCCTGAAAGGCTGCTTTTCTTTGGGGCTCTTCTCCCTTGCCCCCTCCAGTTGCAGGCCCTTGGCTGACCCTGATGTCAGCTTCTTCTCATCCTGGTCTGTTACACCACTGGTCTTCCCTTGCAGGGTTGGTGTTTGTACTAGAACTTCAGGTCCTGCATAGGTTCCATGGTCCTTCGTCTCCTTGTGCTTTTGGAACTTTCCCCAGCCTGGTGTAGTGTTCCCACATAGGCACTCCCTCAGACCTCACTGCTGTGTAGCAAGGGGCACCTGGGAGTGGTCCTTCCACTGCATCAGTGGTCTCCAGGCAGTCCAGTCTCAGGCAAGTCAGCTGATGTAAGCCAGAAGCTCCCCCCCCCCACCTTCCCCTGTGCCATTGTAAGCCATGAGCAGCAACCAGCCAGTGATCGCAGCTTATCACACTGCAGGCAGGCAGTTAGCCAGGCGTGGCTGCTTTGGCCTTGCCGGGCAGCAGCATGGCCGCTCTGGCCTTGGAGAAGGAGTGATGCCAGCCAGCTAGCCAGTGTTGCAGAAGGGTAGAGAGGGGTGCCTGCCAGGACTGGTGCTGGAGAGGACCAGCTCCAGCCCACCCACCCCTTTTCGCACCTCCATGCCAGGAGTTGCCCTGGCGCTGAGGAACAGCCATGAGTGCCCCAAGAAAGCACTGGTTGCCAGTTTTCCAAGCCTGCGTATACAGATTTGGGGAATGAGAGTTTGACAAAAAAAAGTGGGGGGGGGGACATTCAGTCCAAAGTGGTGTCTCCCTTTATTCTATAGTGCACTAGAATAAAGCTGGTTTTGGCTCTAAGTCTCGTCTCAGGCTCCTTTTGACTCTGGTCTGGGGTCCACCCAGGTTTGCCCTAGCTGTTGACTGGCTGAGTTTGGTAGCACTCCCTAAGCTTAATAATTTCTAGCTTTTGATTTAAAGTGAGAGATATGCCCCTCTTCCTTTCACTTGAATACTTAGAGGCCACTGTAGGGTTATTAATTGGCCTAATTTCAATATTGTGTTTCACCGAGGCCTGATGAGAGGGGGAGAGATGAAGGAACTACTGGTCAGTGGAGCAGTCATAACACACACAGCATTCATCAACTGAGTTCACCATGTTAAACGGGTGCAGTTTGTGGCGCACACCCAGTCCTGAGTCCAGCACCCACCTTGCCCTCCCCGGGTGACAGCACACCATTTCAGGCTGGCTGCGGCAGTGGTCAGGGAGGGAAGCATTCCCTGCATGGCTGTCTGCTCCCTCTTGCCTGCCGCCCCCCCCCCCCCACCCCCGGCCACACTTCCTAGGCACAGTAGGCTGCAAAACTCCAATCATGTTCCCTGCTATCCAGAGTTTCAGGCATCCGCTGTGGGGCTTGGAATCCATCCCCCACAGATACAGGGGTCCTACTGTACTTATAATCTGATTTAATGGGTGTGAATCCTTTTGAGTCCTGTTACTACTGAAAAGGCTATACAAAAATTGCAAATCATCAACAACAACATTGCTGTAGCCTAGGCGACTGTTTAAATCATGAGTCAGTCCACAGAGGTGGAACCTCTGGGACTAACCTTGCTCAGGAATCCAAGTTTGGTTCTCTAATTTTACTTCATTTCTAGGCCACTTTTCCAGACCATGCCCTCACAAAGCAGCGTATACAATGGTAAGCAATATACACATTGATCTCCACGCAGTTCTAAGTCACAAAAGCACTTTTATTTTCAACTACAGGTAACAGAGCCTTTTAATAATTTTGCCTAAAACCTATAATTATGCCATTTTTCTAGCGAGACATTCCTGGGTCTCAGTAACCGTGCGAGAACGAGCAAGAGAGAGGGAAACGGGCGCGATAAGGGCAATCAGTCCTCTGGACTAAAAGTCGAATAGGCGCTAAGAGAGGAAGAAATGATCTCCTGCTCAAGCCCTCCTCGGGAATAACAAGAAGCCTCCACAAATTTCCTCGGGGCTTTATGGACGATTGCCTGCCCACTCCCGCACCCATCAATCAAGGAAAGGCGCTGGCCCCACTTGACAGCGGGAATGAGGGGGGGGGGTGCACGCGCGTAGAAAATCGGCTGGACTCCAACTCCCACAATGCTTCGCAGTCAGGCAGCGCTACCCACTCAGTGTGAGACGAGCTCATTGGCGAAAGGACCGGGGTTCCGGCAGACCTATCAGCTCCCCTCTCATTGTGCGGTAGCAGCAACCAACGTACACACATTAAGCAGGGGTTGGTCCAGCCTCGGCGTCCCTAAGGGTTGACCCGTGTTGCCGCCGCTGCCGCCGCCGCCGCCGCATCTTTGCGCCGGGACGCTCGCTGACGGGCTGCTGTGCCGATCCACTGAGCAGAGGAAGAAGCATGAATCTGGGGTAAGGAAGCGGAGACGTGCGGCGGCTGAATCCTCGGCTTCTATGCCGAGGTCCCTTGCCTTGTGTGTGTAATGCATCCTTGGCCCCAAGCTGGCGCCCTCCAGATGTGTTGGACCACAGCTCCCGTGCTGGCTGGATTATGGGAGTTGCCCGACACATCTGAGGGTGCCAGCTTGCTAGAGACGGGACTGTATTGTGAGTGGCTCCCCCACTCCAGTGCAAAGGGATTGCCTTTTAAAGCTCAGTGAGGTGGCACGAGGCGGAATCTCCTCACCTCAGTCCTGAACGGATTCCCAGAATGCAGGAGATCTTCCCAGATGGAAGTCTGCCTTCGTACATACGTGGCTTCCTGGAAAGTTGAAAAAGCTAATGCAAACCTTATTCTGCATGTCTGAATCTGGGGTACCTGAGCAAAGTATTTATGGTCTTCAGGATCTTATGTGTATTTCTCTCCTCATCCACAAATATATTTTTTGTCCTGGAAAAATACTTCCTTTGATCTTATGACTAGTGCTAGCTAGACCTTCCCAGAAATTCTTGTGATGGCACAGTGTGTTTAGCAGTGGAACTAGAGTTAGGTTGTTACCTGCAAGGTTGTCAACGTCTGGATTAGTCCCTGTGGCAGTATCTCTAAACAGGAGCAGTTAAGTGGTTCATTAACTCATGAAAAGTTTTCCTCTGTGCAATGAAAAGCTTTATGTGTTGGTTTCTACATATTGGGCAGCCAGCTGGTCAGGGCAGAAAAGCAGACCAAAGCATTGTTCTCTGACCAATTGGCAAGGCTGGCCCAAGACATTTTATGCTTGAGGCAAAGGGCAGGATGATGCCTTTCCCACTCATTTGACACGATGGAACAGCTAAAAAGGCCTGAGCTTGGAGGGAAAACCACCTGGGAATTACATGTAGGCACCTTGAATTCCACTGTGGAGAAAGATGGGATATAAATATAATAAATAAATAAAATTATTAAAATGGCAAGAGGTATAAACAGTAGGGTTCATAAATATCCTCTAACTGGAAGTTTTACTGGCATTCCTTGTTTTTGTAAAATATCCTAATCCAAAATGCATTACATAAAATAGATATATTTTAAAACTATTCTGCCCACTTACACTACAATGTGAATTTTGGAGCAAGTAAATGAGATATAGCTACAAAGTTCTTCAAATCCACTCCCTAGATTTAGAATTATGTCCAGAAGTCTTAGTCTGAGAGAGAGAAGAGGACAGTTCATGCACAAAGCAGTGCCTCAGAAACCAATCACAGGATCAGTGCAAATACCTAAGAAGTGTCACTGGGGCTGCTTAGCTGGGTCAGCAAATCAAAGCACTTCAGTGTTTTCATTTTCTTGCTGTCTCCTTCCTGAGCCAAGGTAGCAGCCAGTAAGACTTGTGACAGGGCTTATGAGTCCTTGTTTCTCTTCTTGAGTGAAGGACAGAGACAAAGAGACAGACAAAATCAAGTTCAGAGGGTTGAGGTTCTCCTCAGTTTGAGGGTCTCCTGTGTATGCTATTCTTAATCACATGGGAGTGACCTTTTGGGAGCTTGGTTCTGTCAGAACCTCCATGAAATTCAAAGAATGGCTCCATAATCATGTTCTCAGCCACTCTCCAGAATGCCTTCTAGAAAAATTAGTGGTCTGCCAGAGTGAAGCATTTTGACTTTTTGTAATATAATCTGTGATAGTCAGACTTCACGGTCATATTTGAGTAATATTTAATATTAGTCTTTCAAGGCCCATTCATTTTAATGGGTCTACTCTAAGTAGAACTGACAGGAGATACAACCCTAAAATACTGACTTGTATTGTAATACACACCACAATTTCTTAGAGACAGTTCTGTAACCTCAGAATACAACAGTATAATTTTTCAGAAATATCATGCTATTCTTGGCCTACTGTTGAAATAGGGGTATTTCAACAGTATACAATAGGTATACATTTTAAAGGGTTATGTGTGTATGTTATATATGTACTCGTATGTCTATTTTCAAAGAAAGAAAAAACACCAGAAAGGTACCAGTATCGGCACTGAATAATAATTTGAAGTTTGCGCACTGAGGTTTGTTGGAGGTAGCAATGTAATGGGTTAGTTCCATTTTTCTGTATTACAGAATTCATTTCCTGTTCCCGATTAGGTATTTTTAAAAGGTAAGCAGTTCCCTCTCCTTTTGTGGGGTTTCGCCTAGGGCATCTGTAGCCCCAAAAGAGGTACAAACCCTAAGTCATAGTGAGTGTGTAAATGCACTAAATATTCCACTTAGGCTAATTTATCTTTTCCATTCAGTGGGTGATTCCACAATGGCAGATGAATTCCTCTTCTCTATATTCTATTATTGGATTATGTGGTTGTCAAAACAATAACTGAAAGTGAGGAGGAAGAAAATATATAATAATCGTAGACTGTAACCAATGTTGTGAGAAGCCTTAAACTGGAAGCCAACTTTGCTTATTCTTTTAAAAATTATGCACCATCATTGTTCTAAGATAAATTTATATTATGGAAACATTTCACTTTCTGTTATATTGCAGGGATGGTTTAAAGCTTGAAACTGAAATACTGGATGGGAAGCCTAGGCTGATACTTGCTTCTTGTGGTATGATTATTTCTATCTATAATTTTATAATTCAGATGTGTTTGGTACTGCACGTTCTAATTCTGAACAACACCTTGGAGGAGTGATCTATGGCAGTCAAACAAGTTTTTAATTTTAAAAAATTGTGCATTTTTTCTCTGTAGAAAAGGACATATGGCTGTGAATATCCCAGTCAAAAATCCTATTGCCAAGTCAAAATACCATTTTTAAAAGAATACAGTTTTGACAGATAGCTAGCAAAAGTGTGATAACTCCCTTTTCCCTAGAAGCTCTCTCTATATACCTTCCCAAGTACCTAGAAGTACAGAGAAAGATTTCAAAATGTGTTCAAGCCTGTGAACCAGCAAGAAGAAGGAAACTGATGCCATGCAGCGGGTGTAAATCTCCAGACATGCACATTTTGTATGCAAAGAAACAAAAGGGGTGCCAGGATGAGATAGTGTGATGTATGAATGTGCCCAACAGCTACCATCTTTGGAGAGCGCTGTAGCTTAGTAGAAAAGCACCTGCTCTGCATGTGGAAGATCCTAGGTTTTAATCCCCAGGAGCTCCATTGAAAAGGATAAGGCAGCAGGAAGAACCATTTGCCTGCAGAACTACTTCCAGTCAACATAGGCAACACTGGCCTGGAGCTACAAATGGTCTCCCTTGGTAAAAAGCACCTTTCTGTGTTCACCATAGAATATCATGCCATGTTTGCCTACTGTGGGAGATTTCTTTTTGAATTCTTGAGCTTTTTATTCCTTCTGTGCTCATTTCTGTTTTTAAAGATTCTTCAGTTGATTAAGTTACAGAGAAGGGGAAATAACATGCCTCGGTCTGTCTATGACAGTTTGGATTATATGGGCATCCTGAGCCTGTCCTCATTTTAACTTGTTTTGGTGCAAGTGGAGCTTTGTGTTGGAACACTGAAAGTCACATTCTTTCACATTGCCAAGTGCAAGTGTTCCTGGAGCAATTAGTGAAGCAGTGCTAGTGGTACAAAGGCTAATAATTGAAGAAAACAAATGAAAATCAGGTCCTAATTTTCTATCGCAGCTTTTAAAAAAAGACAAATCACCATTTACCAAATTCAGAAGTGCCCAGTTCTGGTCAACTATATTGACTGAATGTGTATATCCAATAAACTTCACATGATTGAAAATAAAGGAGCTAAGTGGTTTATAGCCACTCAGATTTTTCCAAAAGATACAATTTCCTACAATATAAGCCAAAATTGTTCTAGTCATTATTCTTATTTGTGCTCTTGTGTTTCTTTTCTTTCATAGTGGGAAAGTCCAAACCAAGTGTCAAAGTAAGTACAATATTTTTTCCATAAACAGATAGCTTAAATACTTCTTGCCAAATAAGAGCAGTGGTGTCATTTGAATTTAATGCTTCTGCTGTGGAAGAGTTGAGATTTCTTCTGATTCTGCATTTCACAAGAAACAACTATAGTTCAGGAAAATGTCACCAACAATATGGTACTTATAACAAAATAGTAAGTCTAATCTGTATTTCTAAAAGCTTTGATGATTTGGGATCAGTGTACCTTAGAGGCCACCATTTCTCATACAGACCTGGCCAGATGTTAAAAACTTCTTTGGTGAGGTAAGGGTGACCTGTGACACGGCCTGGTTCTGGCTTTGATGCTTTTTTGTTGCTAGGTGGTCTTACGCACTGTTTTTATTCCATATTATATAGGTGGATTGGTCTGTTTCTACTCTCACATGAAAAAGCTGTCTTGAATGTCAGACCACTGGGGAGCATCAAAAGGTTTCCAGACAACTGTCAAAGTGCCAATTTGTGGCATTTTCCCCCCAGAGCAATCTCCAGCACTTTGGGGCTTTGGCAACTGCCCTGATATGCACATTTCAGACAAGTCCTTGTTGACACTGATGCTGTTCTGAAAAGACAGCTGTCAAAGGGTGGGGGTGATAAAATTAGGCGCTTACAAATAGTGGGCAGAGTTACTCCACACACTAATTTATTTCATTGTTGCTCCAAAAAATCTTTGGTGAAGATTCTCCTTTCTTCTCTTTTAAGGGGTAGGCAAACTATTTTTTTGGATGAGGCAGCCATTTTCAGAGTGGCTTATGTGTTCTTTGTGCCCTATGCAAACCAGTGGAGAGGTTGATGTCTCTAGTATTTTGCATCGGGTAGGAAAAAAGCCTGTTCATCCAAGGATGGATGGTTTCAGATTAGGCCCACCCAATCCAAGGACCTTGTAGGGCCCCCTCCCTCCTGCAGTCACCTTTAATATTCACAAAGTGAGGATTTGTGAAGCAAGGTACTCTGGCTCTCTCTCAAAGTGGACCAAGCAGAATCAGCCCTCTAGACAAAATGGGAACTGACTCAAATCTTGTATTTCTTTGCACACCCCTAGTTTTTAGTATCAAATTAAGAGAGATCAGATAAAGGACCTTTGGCATGAATCTTTCGTAGTCAACCCATGCAGCTTCATTTGAAATAGACAACACTCTTGATTAAAGCATTGTCCCACTTCCAACACCGAGACAACTAAAAAGTATTTATTTATTTATTTCATTGCATTTGTATGGCTCCCCATAGCCAGAGGCTGTCTGGGTGGCTCGCAGTGCAATGTAAAAATACAAATAGAAATAAATAACAATAACAACCACATCTGTAGAACATAATAGGATTAAAATACAATATAAGTACAACCATATGAATAGAACAGGAGGAAATAAGCACAATATAACCAATAAAACAATAAGCCAACAGGAAACCAATAAACCAGTCTAAAAACAGATGCTTAAAGTCTTAACTTGGCATTGAAAGCAAGGTAAAGTGGGTGCCAGTTGCACCTCTCTTGGAAGGGAATTCCAAATGTGAGGTGCTACAACAGAGAAGTCCTTTTTCCTCACTGAATCCCCCCTCACCTCATTTTGGGTGGGGGGGTTCATGAAGGAGGGCCTCCATTGGCAAGCAGTTTCAAGTTACAGACTAGAGACTGTTATGATATTTGAATTGTTACTGTTTTAACAGATGTGCAATAAGAACAAAATCTTAAAGCATACATTGCGAGCGAAACAGAATGGTCATATTCTCAAAGCAGTGCAGACTTCCTGTGAAAAGAATGAATGTTTGATGAAACACAAAACTGGATCAAGACTTTCTGTAGCAAAAGGTGGCAAAAACCCTGAGACTTCAGTATTTACTAAGGATTCACCAAAAGAGTCCTGCAATAAAGATCATGCTTTTATTGTCCAAAAGGACGCTACAACTGGTAGGCTTGATAATGCCAGAATTTCATTTAAGAAACCTTTGATGTCCAACAAGAAGCTTAAAAATCATCCTGTTTCCATTGAGGATCTACGAGACAACTTGGTATGTTTGACACAACAGCAACTTGAACAGATTTTGATGGCTGTAAAAGAAGGAACCAAAGGAGTCTCTCAGTTTCAGGGTGGCAAGGAAGAAACAACAAGTAAGAAATTTATCTTCTACCAAGAGTCAAATTATCTTAGTAGGTTTAAACCAAGTCTGATGCTTGCAAAGTAAGGAGACTGATCAATATAAGCCACTACTGGGACAAGAGTTGGAAGATTATTTTATTACTTAATAGTTTCTCATATATCCTTATATTCATAGCCATAATATAGATTTGGTAAATGTGTAATTGGAGTTATTTGAGCTTAGAAGAAAATAGTCATGTTTCTTGTAAATTTAAATTCCAGACCCATGTTATTTTTATTGTAATTGTATTCTCTTGAAAGGTCCTAATGTGGAAAACTGATTGATCCTGCTGTTACATTTAGAAAATAAATATTTTTTTCACCAAATATAGACACATCCTCCTCAATAGGAGAAAAAGTGAAAGTACAGGCAGAAGACTGGGGAATAAGTTGCTTATTTATTTGTTTTGTTTTGTTTTGTTTAGCAGACTTATATGCAGCCCCATTCGTTGAAGCCTCGGGCGGCTTACAAACATAAAATCAGTATGATATATTTATACTTCCTAGGACCCTTTGATGACACAAGTTAGCATTAATATTACAGGAGACAACTCACCCACTTAGCTGGGACACTGTATCTGGATGCCCACATAATTTTAGTATGTTCTAAACCAGGGCTTCCATCTGTACTTCCTGTTTGTGCCTTAGTTTAAGAGGAGGACTGCAGTTAGCCAAGCAGGGATGATATAGGAGGAGAAGAATGATGGAGATGGAGGAAAAGAATGATGTAAGCTGCCTTGAGCCCTTTGTAGGAAAAAGGCAGGATATAAACGGGGGAAAAAAATATCTCCAGGAAGGAACACTGATATATCTTTCAGCATGGCTTGGAAGATAAGGCTAGGAACTTGTGTTTCCTTATACCGAATTTATCTTGTAAATTTTTTCATCTTTATCTTAGAGCCTAATTCCAATTGTGTATACAACATCAAGGTCAGTTACACTTACCACAGCTAGCTGGCAGTTCATGCTAGCAAGTAGTAGCGTGTTGCAAAAATGTCCTCAAAGAAGTGTAGCAAGCTTTAATCTTACGACTCCCGACAGGTTAGTTTGCTAACTGTATTATGTTCAGAACTCCTTGGACTTGAGCAGAGCAGGTCACTTCAGTGCCTCTACCACTGTAGTGTCACTGTGGCTCAAAGGTGGGGTCTCCCAGAGCCTTCCCCTTTATAATGAGGCTAGCAATGCAAGGCAGTCCTTAGCTGTCTACTGATCTTAACTGCTTTGTTGTGGAATCTTTCCTCTGTAAAGACTTAGCACATCCATATATGATGAATGTAATTTGCATCATGCTCATTCATGTGCGGGAGGAGCCTGCTTGCTCAAGTTTATTTGAATTTATTGGAATTCTCCGTTCTGGTGTAACTTTTAAAATAGCATTCTTGTCTAAACAAACTCCTACTATAATTTCCTGAGAAAAGTTAGGTCAGTTTAGCATTCTTTGTATGGTGGCAGAGCTTGTCTTCTTCCCTTGCCACAGCCCAAAATCCATCTTTGAGATCATTCTTGCAACCTCAAACCTGCAGCCTGTGCAGTTCTTTCTATTCTGGCTGTAAGGCTGGGGAGAAGACTCTTCTGTCCGTGGTAGCCTGGTCCAGCTAAGGCACCCTACTTGGGTTTTGAACATACCATCTGTGCCCAAGATGAAACACACTCTGTTGAATGCAGTGATGAAATATGAGTACAGAATATTGATAAATAAGCAAAAAAATTCCCTCCTCTGTGGCCTTTTGGTTCCCTGAGTAGACCAGGGGTGCTCCATGGGTCTCTAGATGCGCCTGGGTGAGTGTGTCCGTTCCTTCCCTCAGGATGAGAACAAAGGACATTGCCTTTTGCTATGGATTTTATGTAGTTCCTCTCTCCTACTACTGCAGAGCCTGTCAGGATACACCCAGATTCCCCTCCCCCTCACTGAGAATGAAGTTGGTTTCTTGAGGTAAATGGCCTTCATTCTCACTGAAAAGGTAGCCCTTACCTTCAGAATGATTGGAGAAAGCAACTCCAAGGCCATTATCTCTGGTGCTTCTAAGAAACTGAAGGCCTTGGCATGCTTTCAAGAAGGTGTCCTGGCTTTTGGACACTAGGAAAGCTCACTCCTCTACCTGTTGAACTCCAATAACCTCCTTGCCATTCTTCTGGTAGAGCAATACAGTAATACCTTTGTTGAACAATGCAAGGGTGTTCAGGTTCAGAATCCCACCCACAACCTCAGAGCGAGATTCCAAGATTGAACCTGAGACTCTGAAAAATCCTATGATTACCTGCTGACTCTGCCAGCAGCCACAGGATTGCACTGTAATGCACCAACATTTCCTTACTAGTAGCTTGGGTTCGAGCCTTCTGGTATCACAGCAGTAACTTAGAAGTATGACTCTTTAGTGCAAAAACAAACAAAATCCTAGTCTTGGTGTAATTTAGGTATTTTTGATAGCTTCTTTAAAGAATTTTGCAGCAGACACAAGGAGATCTATTAGCAGCATCAATTTTAAAAAGCCTCCTTTCTTTCTAGTATCAAAGAGTGCAGAAGGTAACACTCCTGCTGCTCGGACTCCAGAGGAAAGCATAATGGGATTACTTCAAAAGGCTGGTGAACTTCCATCTGTTCCAAGTGAAACTAGTTTCATTTCAAACAAAAAAGAAAGGATGTCCAAGCATTTTGAAGAGAAAGCAATCACGTATGTTCTTACAGTCAAAACTTCAGATTAGCTTGACTTTTTAATAATATGAATCCTTCTGATAGATTACCATAAACTTCGGGGGAAATGGTAGATAGACCCTTGCACATTATAGAATGAGTTAGGTTCTGGATATATTTTCTGGGATTGGAAGTCTCTCTCCTAGAAGCTGCCTCTGCCTGATTTTCAGGATTCATTCCACAGCTCACTGCATGCAGCATTCTCCCCAACCCCCGCTCATTTTGATGGGACCAGAAGGGCTGCATGAGGATGAGGGGTGAGGAAGTTTACTTCAGCAAGCCCAGTCTTTACAGAATCATATAACAGCACTTTCATGAAACCTCTGACACTCTGGCTTTCACCAAATATTGTGCTCAAGTATAGTGTAGCACCACATGAACAAGGCTAGCCTCCTCCCAAGTTTGTGTGCTCCTCCTTTCTCCTGCTGCTGCTTCTATATAATTACCCCTTTCCACTTTTAGCTAGCTTCCTGTGTTGTCTGGACCAGAACTCATAGTTTGAAACTGGCTTCAACCGCAGTTGAAGGTCAATTACATTGGCAACACAGCAGGGTTTAACCAAAGAGAAAGGAAAGGGGTTATGTGATCCTGGGAGGAAACTAGGTTCATTCTTGTTCATCCACATCATGCTATACAAAGATTTCACATATCTAAGTGTGACCTTGATGTTTTAAGCATATACCCCAGACACTTAAGTGCTTTGCATGCTTAGATGTGACTGATAAATCACTGAAGATTTATGCAAATGAACACTGATACCACTTCATTTTGTAAATTTATTTTTCTGTGGACTATGTAATTTTATTCTTCATTAGAGAATTAGTAGGGAGGACACTTGTTGTCCACTATGTAAAGTGGGAAGAAAGCTTCAGTTTTGGATTCTTTTACCGCTCAGGCAGTAGAAGTGTAAGAATGAACCTACCTGCTGAATCTCTTTCCATCTTTTATTCTGTCATTACTAATTAGTGTGTGTGTAGGTGGGGGTTATCAGCTGAGCTTTAAACATCCCTTCTAATTTCCTTCTGCAGGAATTCATGGAAACCAGCTGACATATTTAGTACTCTGGGAGAAAGAGACCGAGATAAAACCTTGTTGGATGCTAAGAAGTCCCAGTGGAAGAAAGAACTGGGTATAGTGCAATTAGCTGTATATAGCTTTTAGTAATAATAACTGATTATTAAATAGGCACCTCATTTTATATATATACATTATTAGTATAGTATTTACATATAGTATTTACAGAAATACTATACTAATTAATTAAATATATATAGATGATCATGCCATAGGCCAATTCATCAAGTGATCAATCCACAGGCCAAATGATGTAAGGTAGTTCTATTTTTGTGTTATTAATAGAAACATCACTTGTCAGAATTTAAACAAAAGGATTTGCATGCAATGTTAGATTAACTCAGGTCCCATTCATTTCAGTAGATCTACTCTAAGTAAGAATAACAAGGCACAACCAGGAAATTTGGGTGGGTTTTAACCCTTGTTTGAGTAGAAGCCTGCTTGTGCAATGTGAGTTCCCTATCTTCCCCTCCCTGTAGCCTTGTGTGTGGTGCAGATTTGCTTTGGGGATTGCATGGAGTGGGGCAGAAAGAACATCTGTCTTGCCACATCTCCCTTCTGTTGGAACAACTCCGCTGGATACAACTCATTGATATTTAAATATATCATTACTTTTCACTTAGTTATATATGTTAATAAAATAACATGAGCAAGATCCACTGGTCCCATTGTGTATACACAACTGACATAGTGCTAGTGTAAGCAACCTCTAGTGTAAAGTGGCTGGACAGGTTTTCCAGGGAAAACCTTTCCCTTACTGGCTTTGCTTTGCTTTAGAGGTCACTTATGCTACATCAACAGCACAAGCACAGCACCAGAGCTAGATAATGCGCTTGATATCTATAATGCATGCAGTTTACAATTCTCCATATTGATGTAAGAAGACAACTGAACCACATAGTTTGGCATGATGAGAAAGAGCCTGGGTATTTCTAGGGCAGTCTCATGGCAGAGTTCAGAAACTTTTCCTTCCATTTTTTATTAACTGTAGTTTGCTCTGTCATCAAATATCATTCTTAATTATGCTTTGTTTAAAACACGCCAGCAATAGACCAAGCTGGTTTGTTTCACACACATACTCACAACCACACCCATGGTTTAAGGGTTATTAACTGAACTGTGGTTAATAAAAAGGGAAGAGAGCTTCAGCATTCCTGGCGGTTGTGCTGAAGGAGAAGAGGGCACAGAAGAAAATGCATGAGCTAAAGGCTTGCCTAAATTCATGTAGCCAAACAGCAGTTTTACTGATTGTTTCTCTCTTTAAAAGATGAACAAGTAGCTTTAAAGAAGAAGCTCAAAGAAACTTTGGAAACAGGGTCAAAAGATTACCTGCAGCAGACTGATACAAGGAAAAGCTGCTCCGAAAAATTGCTAATGGCTCATCAGGCTAAGGTAAATAAATCAATAAATAATAGCATTTTGTTCGATGTATTCATTGCTTATAAAAAGTTTATATTTTATTTATATTGCAATCCCATCCTGTGCTATTAGTAAAAATAAATACCTGCATTTAACTTTTGTTGCTGCTGTTCTTCTATTCCCAGCCCCACCAGTAAACACACACTCAATTTCCACACTTCATTCCAAATATCTTTTCAGGCCCATCCTAAAGAAATGGTGACATCCTTGGGATGTCTTTTGCCAAGCAATGTTAATATCTACTAGAAGAGGTAGTTAACTTTTTTACTGGACAAATATAATTACATAATACATAATTTGATAAAACATTTTGTTTATATTTTAATAGCAATACAAAAGAGCCGTTTGTTTGAAGTCACCAAGATATTTTGTTTGTAGATGGCATTTTCAGATGACTTAAGCGCTGCAACCGATGATATCCACACTTGTAGAAGTTTAACCATTGAGGCTACTGAAACTTCACCCAGTGTTTCAAGTGGGCAAACTGGACAGTTCTCTAGTTTCAGCTCTCCTGATTTGCCAGCTGCTATTCGAACAGCATTTGTTTTAGGGGTAAGAACTTGCATGCATTATTTTTCTGTTTTTCAGTCTTAAATGTCAACATGCTTCTCTGCTTATGGCATGACCCTCTGTAGCAGTTTTCAACTGGCTGGCTGGGTAGGCAACATTCAAAGATGCCCTAGGTACAGGATATCCAGTTTTAGGGAAATTCAAAGATTAGCTAACGTACACAAGATAGAAGCACAATTGAATGCTTCTATCATGTGGAACTCTTTAGGGGTTTTTATGTTTGGCCTTCTGCCTTTGTGTCATAGGCCATTCTAAGAAAAATGGTTATCAGGCACACATAGCACTAAATTCTTGTTTAGTTGAACTTTAAAGTGGTTACTTGTTTGCTTCACTTGTTCCAGTGAAGCAAACACAAAATAAACAATAGCAAACAAATAGCAGTGTGGTAGAATGCAAATATGTATTTTCATCTGAATTTATTGTGAACCAATTTATTGTGATTCATGTGGATCTGATCTGTTTTCTAAGAACAAAATGGGATGCTCATCCGATAACTATGGTCAGTGTTGATTTTCATTAAGTATTGGGTCTCCATGTTCCTTGTGTACCACATAGTCTGAGACATATGCAGTTATTGTAATTTGCACAGAAATTATGCAGAATACTGAAATACAGTTTACATGTAGCTGTTATGATTATTCATATGTCTGGGTATGCATTTTATTCTGTCTATAGAAAGTGCCCTGTTTTTGTAGTTTGTCGGATTCATTGGCAATATTCAAACTAGGAAAATAGAACAGTTAGGTACATACAGGACAAATAGGTACAGGGGACATAAACACCCACGTCTGAGTAAAATAAAGAATTAATAAAAATAAAATAAATAAAACATGTCTTCTTTTAGGAAGCAACACCAATAGAACATCCTTTTAGTGCTGTCAAACGTGAACAACAGAAAAAGTGGCTTGAAGAGCTTGATAAACAAAGGGAAGCTGACAAATTACGAAAACTAGAAGAAAAATACAATTTATCCAAGGTAGCTGTGATTATGAATTTGAAATAAGAAAGTAATAGTTCTAAAATGAACATCTAATAGGAGAGACAATAACATTTGTTGTCATGTGGATACAAACTGCCATTTCTAATCTGTTTTATGTAGTGTTCTCTCTCTCTCCCCCCTTCCTCCCTCTCCCTCTCCCTCACACACATACACACAGAACTTGACCTGTTCACACAATTAGTGGGAAGAGGACAAATAATCCAAAGTGGACATATGTGTTTATTCCCTGTACATGTATTTGATTGGTGCTTTGCTTTTCTAGTCAAATAGCATTCTAGGTGGCTCAGAATTCCTACTGAGAATGATGGATCTTAATGCCAAGTAAGCATGCTGAACTTGCAGCTTGGTGCTGTTTTCTAGAAACTATCCCAAGAGAACATATAAGGAAAAGATGGCTTTCAGGTGATGGGGCGGTATATAAATAATAAATTTCTTGCCAGTGAACCTAAAGATTCAAGTCTTGCTGTTTAAGAGTATTCAGAATAGTAATGCTCTTAAAACATTTATATAATTCATCTATTTATAGTAGGTAATGTATGCTGTTTTGAGAAATTCAAGACTAGGGCATAAAATTAAATGTAAACATTTTGTTCCTGCTTCTTTAGGGTGAAGAGCATGACAAGTGGACAATCCATTTTGATTCTTTCAGGAATCACATTAATTCCTTTTCACAACACCCTTTAAATGCAACACATAAAAAGCAACCTGAAGCTTTATACCTTTCCTTTGAACCTGAGGATCAGACTGCTATTACACCTACAGCTTTATGTCATCCCACACCTGCAGAGGTGGAAATCTCAGGAAAGGATGTGGGAAGCAATATTGTGGAGCCAAATCAGAAAACTAGGTGAATGTCCCCTTTTCTTAGTCAACTTTGAGCCAGCTTTCATTAACATAACTTAATGTTGTGCATTCTTTAGTGATTTCATGCTCAATAAATTTGTTTTGGTTTTAATTAGCATTTTGTATGTATGTATAGATTACAGAATAATTTTCTTCAAATTTGTTTTGGTGTACAGAAATTCTTGATAACACTGGTCTACAAGGAGAAAGCCTCAGACATGAAAGTAGCTTAGTTTTACCAGAATTTGGTCACTAATAAAGGAAAATTAAGTCCTGAGTATTAATTGGCTCCAG